TCTCTTTGGGGGTGTTTTTCGTTTGGTCTAATATTCCTGAGTTCTTCATGATTTCCATGTCGATCAGTTGTTGTTCTTCTTTAGGTTTTGTTTGGGTATTCACACACCTTATTTAGTTTCTGAGCCATTAGGTGGTGTCTGTGGTGAGATTCGACCACTCCCTGTATAATGAGTCAGTGGGTGCCGTGAAAAGACTGTGCAGGATGCCCTCCCTGTCAGTAGGTGGTGCTTGCTTGGAGGAACAGGCTATGCTGTTGTTTTTGTGTCTGTTATCAGCTCTTGTTCTGGGCGGAGCTGGGGTGGAAGCCTCCCTCAGGCAGTTAGCAGGGGTCAAAGTTCTGTCTCTGCTCTAGGAAAAGCTGTCAGGGCGGGGCTGAAGATGGGTCCCGCTCAGCCAGAAAGTCTGCTTGTGGGGGTGGGGCTGTCTGAGACCCGCAGTCTGGAGCGGGCCTCGCTTCTTTCCACCCTCCCCAACTCCGCAGCTACTCCTGGGCCTCTGCCAGCAGGCCAGACCACACGCCACCAGGCCTCCCCGGATTGTGATGCCGGCATGGAGTTTCCCTGCGCAGGAATGCCGCCTGGGCTGGGCTCACGGCCTCCCTTTGGGGGGAGGGTTGCCCTCTAGGACGCAGATCTGCCCCTGGAGGCACACACACCTCAGTAGGCTGTTCACAAATATCCCTTCTGTGCCCCGGGCAATGCTAGACCTCCGTGCACGGGATCTGGTCTGCAGGTCCGACCTCTGGGTCCCAGAGTTCAAACTGTATCCCCACCAGGGAGAGGATTTCCGGTCCCAATTCACCCACAGGGAGCCCAAGCTGTGTCTGTGTCTCTCAGCCTCTGAGTCAGCACCATTTTCCTGGAAACCATGCCAGCAGCACCTGGGAGGGCTGGCGGGTAGGGAGCTCACAGTCTGAGTTCCCTTTAGTCAGCTGTAGGGTCCCAAAAGGGAAGGTCCCATTCCCTGGAGGTGCCTCCGGCTGGTGGCTGTATTGTTTCTCTGGGCAGCCGCGGGTAGGGTTGGCGGAGGGGAGAAGGAGGCAATATGGCGCCTGCCGTGCGGCTCGGGTCTGTGCACATTGAGGTGCCCCGAGGGATTTGGGAGTCTGGTGCTGCGTCCGCTACAGGCTCACCGCTAGCTGGCAGCGGCCGTCTCTGGGCTGGTGTCCTCAGGTCTCTCCACCCGCTGGGGAGCCCACCAGCAGTCCCAAATGCAGGGGAGAGGAAAGGTGATTTATCCACCTACCCTTCCTGCTGGTCTCCGGGCTGCTCCGGCGGTCTCAGCTTCCAGTTTTCCTCCGCAGCCTCCTCCCGTGGAGTCTCTCGGGGTCTCAGGTACCCCTCCTTCCGGCCCTCGTTTGCTGTATGCTTGCCTTCTTGCTTCTCTTTTCTAATTTCTGCTAGAATCTGTCTTTTCTGCAGAGACACTCTTTCTGGCGGTGTTTCTCGTCCGCCATCTTGATCCTCCCAAGCTTATTTCTCTTTCTTGCCTAATTACTCTGGCTAGGATTTCGAGTACTATATTGAATAGAAGTGGTAAGATTAAGTATCCTTGTCTTTTTCCAATCTTAAAGAAACAGGCTGGGCCAGGTGGCTCACGCTTGTAATCCTAACACTCTGGGAGGCCAAGGCGGGCGGATTGCTCAAGGTCAGGAGTTCAAAACCAGCCTGAGGAAGACCCCATCTCTACTATAAAAATAGGAAGAAATTAATTGGCCAACTAATATATATATATATAATTAGCCGGGCATGATGGCGCGTGCCTGTAGTCCCAGCTACTCAGGAGGCTGAGGCAGGAGGATCGCTTGAGCCCAGGAGTTTGAGGTTGCTGTGAGCTAGGCTGATGCCACGGCACTCACTCTAGCCTAGGCAAGAAAGCGAGACTCTGTCTCAGAAAAAAAAAAGAAACAGCCATCAACTTTTCACTATTGAGTATGGTATCACCTGTGGTCTTATCATAATATGGCCTTTATTGTGTTGAGGGAAATTCCTTCTATACATAATTTGTTGAGAAGGTTTTTTTGTTTGTTTGTTTTGAGACAGTGTCTTGTTCTGTTGCCTGGGCTGGGACGCTCACTACAACCTCAAACTCCTGGGCTCAAGTGATTCTTCCAGAGCAGCTGGGACTACCAGGTGCATGCCGCCACAACTAGCTTATTTTTCTATTTTTTGTAGAGACAGAGTCTTTCTCTTGTTCAGCCTGGTCTTGAATCCTGGCCTTAAGCAATCCTCCCACCTCAGCCTCCCAAAGTGCTAGAATTACAGACATGAGCCACTGCACCTGGGCTGTTAAGAGTCTTATCATGCAAGGTTGTTGAATTTTGTCAATCCTTTTTCTGCATCTGTTGAAATGATCATATGGTTTTCTTAGTGGTGATGAATTTCACCCTCACCCACTTCCCTTTAGGACAAGATCTTTAATTTCAAGTTTGACTACTGTTAGGTGTGCACTTAGCACAACTATCTGATTAAATGAATGTACTCCTTCTTTTTACTAATTCTAATCCCTAAGGAGAAATGAACATGACTTTTGATTAGAATCCTACCTTTATAATTTATCTCAAAGTTTACTTCTTTTTTCTTTTCCTGTACTTAGATTTATTTTTCTTTATTCCATTTTTGCCAATTTAGTGATTTGAAGTATGCCCACCATGCATGGCCATTATGTCCATTAATGAGGTAACAGTGAAACCTTGCTCCAAAGGGGAGAGGTGTGCATGCAGACTTGCTACTTGGTACCTAGAGCTAGGGTCTGGACGTGGTCTCACCCACTCAATGAAATAAGGCAGAACAGAGTTGTTTCTGGCTGCTCACTGGGGCTACTGCTTATTGGAAACTCTGGCCTGCATGGGGGATGCTCAGCTATTCTAGGAGACACCATATATATTGTATTCTATGTACATTGTATTCTATGTAAATGAATTTCCTGGTGGACAAGAAAATCATTAGTCAGCATATGAATTCACTTTTTTTTTTTTTTTTTTTTTGAGACAGAGTCTCACTTTGTTGCCCAGGCTAGCGTGAGTGCTGCATCAGCCTAGCTCACAGCAACCTCAAACTCCTGGGCTCAAGCAATCCTTCTGCCTCAGCCTCCCGAGTAGCTGGGACTACAGGCATGCACCACCATGCCCAGCTAATTTTTTCTATATATATATTAGTTGACCAATTAATTTCTTTCTATTTATAGTAGAGACGGGGTCTCGCTCTTGCTCAGGTTGGTTTCGAACTCCTGAGCTCAAACGATCCGCCCACCTCGGCCTCCCAGAGAGCTAGGATTACAGGCGTGAGCCATGGCGCCCGGCCTGAATTCACTTTTGATAAAATTAAAATAATAGAACCAAAAATTACTTTTAGAACCAAAATTACCAAAAAAAACCATATAAAGGAATAACATCCACAATAATGAACAAGAAATTGTGAAATAAGTTAAAAATCCGGATCAAGAAATTTCCAGACCAGAAAGAGTTGGACAGAATCAGTAATCTGAAAGATAGTACAGAGGCATTCACTCAGAATGCAGCACATAGAAATAAAAAGAAGAACCTATGAAAATGCAAGAGAAAGGAAAGAGCTTGAGGCTGCAAAGTACTTCTTTTTTTAAATATATATGAAAAGACATTTTATTATTACTATTTTACTGTATAACATATTAGTGAATACACCAGATTACATTTCCTCAAATGGCAAATGAGGCGCATTTCTCTCTGATTCCCTGGAGAACCTCAATATTATCTGTCCTTTGGAGGATTCAGTTTCTTACGACAAGTGTGATACTGGACACTGTCCACTAGGATACCAATGGTGCTTAGTAGTAAAGAACATTTTGCTAAGTTGTTCTATCATGGGTCCTTGCTCAAGGTTTTCACTTTTTTCTGCTAATCTGGTTTTCAGCATGTGATCATGTGTTTCTTCATTATTTTGCACAGGATCTGGTCGAGGGATAGGTTTTGTGTGTTCACATGGTATGTCCACCGAAGGGGGGTAGCATACTATCGTCCTGCCATCAGATCTCAAAGCAAGCTCAAATTTGCAACTATAGTCATCTGGTAGAGAAGAATATGTAGATTTATGACGAACACAAGATAAAGCTCCATTTTGGATTGGAAATAAATGTTTCAAGATAGGTCTCTTTGATACCACCCATTTTACTGCTGCTACAGCCATGGTGTTCAAGATGCTTATCGGGTGGTATGAAAAAAGATGTTTTGAAGAAGAAATGCCTTTAAAATCTGCTTCTAGGCACACCAATTTTCATCCCTTGACAGCTCCTCACCATGAGCCCGCCATCTTGTTTCTGCAAAGTACTTCTGACAGGAGTTTCTGAAGAGAATTAGATGGAATGGCAGAGAAACAGAATATGAAGAGATAGATACTGGTTGAAAATTTTTCAGGTATGAGAAAAGGTCCTGAGTCATCCAGTCAAAAGTATCCAGGAGAAGATAAACAAAGAAGCCCACACCTAGACACATGTAATGAAGTAGCAAAACATCAAAGAGAAAGAAAAAAGTCACAAAAGCTACTGGAGTTAAAAACAGAGGTACAATAATTAAGTTTTGCAACAGATCTCTCCTCTGCAGCAAAAGATAACAAAAGACAATGGAGAAATAGCCTCAAATAGCTGAAGAAAAATAGCTTGAAACTTATAATCAGCTAAACTGTTTTTCAAGAGTGAAGGTAAAAAAGACATTTTATAAAGATCTATAAAAATGAAGAGAATTTATCATCTACAAAGGATATACTTCAACAAACAACAGTTTTTAAAAAACTTTTTAGCTTATTAAGGAAACTCGTTATGTATATCATAAAATAATATTAATCACCATCAAAGCTATTAAGAGCAAGAATTAAGATTATTATATGATTTTAGCAGTTATATTGGATATATTCATTGATTTGCATGCTCTCTAGTAGATCCACATTTAATAGAATGCTTCATAAAATGCTATTTTCATCATTGAACAGGATGCAGTATAACTATGTTCTTTTTCTTTATATTTTAGACTGAGGAAACAGTACGGCGTCTCATCTGGGAAAAGAATCTAAAGTTTGTGACGTTACACAATCTGGAACATTCAATGGGAATGCATTCATATGATCTAGGCATGAACCACCTGGGAGACATGGTAGGAAAATTACAAATAATCCTACTTTCACATCTGAGTAAGCATAATTTCTGTCTCCCCCAAAGCAATTTGAAGGTAAACAACAAAACAACAATGATAAAGGAGAGAGTATAGCTATATCCATACAAAGTTAGAAAACAGTAGAATTTAAGGACATAAGAATTTGTACAGAGATTCCTTATTTAGTTCTACTTTGACCACTTTCTATAACAAATCTCTTATTTAGAGGAAATTTTAAACTCATAGACTACTATTACTTTTATTTTTATTATTTATTTATTTATTTTTTTTTGAGACAGAGTCTTACTCTGTGCCCGGGCTAGAGTGCCGTGGCATCAGCCTAGCTCACGGCAACCTCCAACTCCTGGGCTCAAGCAATCCTCCTGCCTCAGCCTCCTGACTAGCTGGGACTACAGGCATGAGCCACCATGCCTGGTTAATTTTTTCTATATATTTTTAGTTGGCCAATTAATTTCTTTCTATTTTAGTAGAGATGGGGTCTTGCTCTTGCTCAGGCTGGTTTTGACTCCTGACCTTGAGCAATCCTCCCGCCTCAGCTTCCCAGAGTGCCAGGATTATAGTCATGAGCCACTACACCCAGCCTACTTTAATTTTTTTATAAATTCTAGAAAGCACGGCCTAAAGACTATTAACAGTCTTTTATAGTAAGTTGTCATACTTATATAAGTCTTAATTGACAATTTAATATGGTCCACCTGCTTTCTTAATGGGAGCATGTGGGTATTTAATAACACAAATAATATCCCATTCGTTTTTAAATTCTGTTCTACCCTACAAAATGTTAATACTGTGGCCAAAGTAAAGATAAAAACAACTTCAGTAGACCAAATTCCTTCTTAAATGCAGGAATCTCCTTTGTAATTCTTTCTGACAAGGAAAACCAATTTGGTCCACTTTTTGGACAGAATTCTGCCTTGCTTTGAACCAATAATCTGCCTCTTCATAACTTCTAGATTTTACTATTTTCATATTTTCCTTCCCAGTAATGGTGCCTGATTGAGATGCTAATGCAAAGTGCAAGACTAAAGGGACCCAAATAATTCACCCCACCAGATAGTAAAAACCTATGTTGGTTATAACTACTGCTGGTTTTTCTCAGTTTTAAAATATATGCACAGTTAGAGTTATTAGGATATTAGAAAGAGGCTATAAGTGAAAGGGATATACGGTCATGTGTCCCATAACGACATTTCAATCAATAACAGACTGCGTATACAACTGTGGTCCCATAAAATTGTAATGGAGCTGAAAAATTTCTATCACCTAATGATGTTGTAGCTGTCATAATGACATAGTGCAATGAATTACTCGCTTGTGGTGATGCTGGTATAGACAAACCTACTGCACTGCCAGTCATATGAAAGTACAGCACATAAAATTATCTCCAGTACATAATATTTGATAATAATAATAAACAACTATGTTACTGGTTTATGTATTTACTATACTATGCTTTTTTTTTTTTTTTTTTTTTTTTTTTT